GATATAACAAGCGGGCAATATACAAATGGTGACGGAGCGTAATAAAAAGACACAGGAGAGTCCAGGAACCATGGTCTGCTGGTGAAGTCTTTGAACTTCGACGGCGCAATAAAGACGATCGTAAGATGATGAAACACTGTAGCAAGTGTTTTGGGAAGCATTGCTGAAAGAAAGCGCCAGGTAGCAGTAGAGGCAGCAACAGAGACCGGATGAATGACTGTTAACGTGACAGAATTATCCCAGTCTAGAATTAGGGTTGGATGGGGACAGAAGAGAAATCGACCCTCAGAAATCAGAATAGCTTCAAGTGATTTTAAGGCCAAAGTTCATTACTTGTGCCTTACCTGGCAGTTGCCTATCATATTTCTGTCTGATGAAGCCTTCTGGATTAATTTAGAACCAGCACTAGGCAGACTAGTTCCAAGCGCCCACCAGATCAGAAGACGCTTGGTATTCTACTACCGAAGGGAGTAAACGCACAAGCAATACCCATTCTTATTTCTATTTTGATGTTTTTTTATCAGAAGTGCACGGCTAAACCCATGAAAACGCTCAAAACCGCTTGGATAAAAAGGAGTACAGTACTTCCTATTCGATAAACAATCCGAAAGTGCGAAAAAGTTTGACGAATAACAGTTTTATATCATATGAATAGTAGTCTCTCTTTGAGAGACCTCTAATTAAGATGCACCTTGAAAAAGACTAGGCGATCTTCAGTAATAAATCAATTAACCTTGCACTTGCCCCTAGCAACACTTATAGAGTAGCTTTCAATTTTCTACTGCGTTCTATGCTGAGCGGTGGGGCACAGCGTCCAAAATAGTAATCGGGAATTTCACGGAAACCCCTGACCAAGTTATGGCTCCTGGATGGAGCGAGATATATTGAGTTTCAATCATTGGATGCAGAACAAAACTTAAAAAGTGATTGACAGCTTGTGACTTAGCCCAGTTGTCCAACATGGCCTTCTAACGTGTCTTCCACAAGGATGGAAAAAAGCTTATCTTGTGTTCTGTGATAGATGCTGAATAATAACCAGAAATGAAATTCTGCACAGCCTTGTTTGGGATAGCGGTGGGTTTGACCCGGACACCCAAGTAAGCAATGGTGCAAGTTAAAATGCAGTTCGGGCAATAAGGAATGCATTTTTTATAGATTGCGACTTCTGCGTTCTGTCACACACATTGGTGTCAGCACCGAGGTAAAGAAGAAAAGCAGACAAACCAGGTGAATGAATGAGTTCACAATAAACCGGATCCAACCGTATACAGCTTCTTATGTAGACATAACCTTGGCGTATTGAATTATTTTCGTTCACATTAGGTCACTTCACAAACTGACGTGAAGATAAGCTAACTCGCTAGACTTAGGTAGCGCGATTGAGCTTATGCAAGCCGCCACAAATGAAACCACGAATTAACAGAGATGTTTCAATTTCCTATCAAGAAAACAGTGTGATCAGTTAGATGTCCTTGCCAGGTTGCACGTCTTATGAAGACAACAGAACAACCCTAATAGGTGTCAGAAGTTCTCCTTACACTCAAAAAATAGTCATAGCAAGTGAATTATGCTGAATTCTATTCTGGTGACCTGTACAAATATGCTATCTCTCCTAATACCCGTGGAACTAAATGGGCCTTTACTGCCACCAGGTGGAACACGGACAGGCTTGTTTACCTACATACTCCTATACTGACGCTCACTAGGGACGTCATGGTTTCTGAAGATTACTGTTCACCTTGCTGGATGGATGTGTCTATTTACCATGGGCGTCTTGCCTTTTTGGCTTATATTACTAAATCCAGTCACTTTTTCAAATAGCTGACTTTCATTGTTTGAGGCAGTGCTCTGTTTCGGCGGGTCACATGTTCGAGGAGTCCACATGTTCAGTTGCATAAGCTAACACAATCTCGGCGCTGGTGTGGCTATCAGTAGCAAATGATCACGGCGTGATCTAGTTTGACCCAATTCTTTAGTTTTCTAGGTTCAGTCCAATATCCCTAAAGGCATCGTGAGTGTGCAGCATTGGAGGAAACAGCGTAGCCAAATTTGATCAACGGAGCCGAGGCTGCAGTCAGTCGTAATACTTTCAGCTCTTTTGACCCTCTTTGAGGACTCTGAAAGTTATGAAATTGTTTCTCGATATTTATTTTGAATAAGCTAGATTCACTTCATTTAAGTGTACGATATCAGGATAGCTGTTCGGAAGATTGAAGCATGTATCCTGATGTTTCTAACAACCTATCTGGATGGGAAGGAAATAACCCGAACCGGCAATCGACCACCTTATTATTATTAAGCCATTCTATAATCTATTTGACATTCAGTTTTACAGAGTTCATCAAGAAGTCCCATGAAATTTACCCGGAAACTCCCAACATGAAGAGGGCAGTGAATGTTGGGTTTTTATCTTTGATGTTGATAAATGAAAGTCAAACCTCCCATAGACGTAACATACCACTCATAAGGTTGATGAAAAGTATTCGACAATCCACAACTGGCTTTGCCCTCTGTGAAGCTCATCAGGTAGGCGCAGTCGTCGAGTTTCCGTTAACTTTATGTTGTACTAGAAACCCTACTGCAGCACATCCCGTTGAAGAAAGCATCATGGAGGGTGGATTCAGCTGGGATTAAGGTTAGTCTTCCACAAAACCACATTTGTATGCAAATGAGAATATCTGTCAAATTTCGTGCAATTCGGGTTTCAGTAGAATATAACTTGAACAGAAACTGAGAGCTTGCACCCGCCTAATGAGCCTCAAGAGACGCAAAACTGCTCGTGGGCTACCGAAGAGTTTTCAGCAATCGTATGAGTGATGTGTATTACGATATCTGAAACATCGTATGAACTGAAAATGAGGTTGCCTCGTGCAGCACGTTCAGTTGAAGAACATCATATACGGGAAATTCAGCTGGGATTCAGATGAGTCTCCCGTGAAAACACTACTGGTATGCAAAGAGTGTACTTGTCAAAAGTTAAGGCTTTTACGACAAAAGGTATATCATAGGCTTCAGCGGCAACTCCTCACGTGTCGGGCTGTCAGTGTTTCATTACTTACTGTCGATTCCGACTCATTTGAAAAATCGCACTAAATTACTTTTCGTTTTATACTGAAACTTCATACACGTGACGCTGAAAAGTGTATCTGCGATTTGGAATCCCAGTAACCTGAGAAGTTATTGATGTTTATAGTATTTGGAAAGCAAATTTACTTTCGTCGGAAGTTGTCAGTCTCTGAAAACAGGCAATATGGAGTTTTGGACAATTTGCCATCTAAGAATTGTCCTAAACAAATCAATTTTTGGGTGCAAACCACCGTGTGCACTCGAGGTCATCTGCATTTTCATGATCGTCTTTCAGCGGATGCTTTAAACGCCCACTGGACATCATAATTTCTGACTGAAGAAGTGCTTCATAATGGATGATGAAGAATTTTCCGTGACGCTTTAGCCGGTCTGCGTTGGTTCATTCAAAACCTTGAAGTGGAAAGTCCAAGTATACACAGCACGGACAACAGGACACTCTAGGGGTGAACTCTAACCAAATAAATCCTGCTAACCGACTGTTCTACCTGCTATATAGGATGCTCTCTATCAGTCAAGCTTGTACCCCGCAGCTGATTCTTCACGGCTCTGTATTTCAGACTAACAGTCAATATCTGGACGATTTGAACGTCTACAACACTGAGGAATTTAGACCGGGGACCAACTAAAGTATCAAAGACTAATCCATTAGGCAGAAGTGTGGCCAATCAGCTGTGAAGTTCAGGTACATAAGTGTGACGGAGAACGAGTGTTATCGGCACGTGATCAGGTAGAGCACCCGTCTGGTAAACGGAAAGCAGGTGATTCAAGACTGCCTCGTTCAAACTACTTGTTGTCGAACGTTTACCAACTGTTCAACTTCCCAAGAATCAAACATCCAAAGGATACAAGTTAGACCATGTGACATTTAAAGTGATTCCCTTAAGCCATAGACGAAGTGTCCGGATGATTACTGGGATGTGTTGAAATATTCCTTTAGTGCCCATCTGTAGTTGTTGCTTGTTATTTAACTTTGGTCTTTAGGACTATCATGAACTTCCTTCAGTCTGACAATTAATCTATATGTAGTACCTTGATTCAATGACAGAAGAGCGCAATCTGTGACTACAAATGCGAAAAACGCCATTCGGGTATAAATAAAGTTTTAGGCGGTTATGAGGCTGTTGGCCTTCACCTATCGGTGAGTTGGTTCCACTGACAGAGGATAAGATTGTGTTAAGAGGAACATGAAACTGTACCATACATATCAACCTCACAGGTGAGCATAATGGCTAGCAAGAAAGTGCAGGCCAATGCAAGAGTCAGTCAACGTACTAACTCAGTATGACGGTGTGACCAAGTGCCTGGGAAAACCATGATGTTCGGCAAGAAAAAGAAGCCTCTGCAATCAGGAAAGGAAATGACGCTGATATAAAACCGAAATAACGCTTCATAACATGAAACACATTTTTTCTAAGTGAATCATTATTCTGTTGTCAACCCCACAACAATTAACAACAAACCACACCAATCCATTGGGTTGATCAGTATTCGGAGGTCCATTCTATAACCAGTAACAACAACACCAATTCAGCTGTGGTTTCTTTTACGTGCATAGCTACTCTGCAGCTCGAAGGAAGCAGGTTACCCAAACCTAGACAAGAGCGAGCAAAAAGCCAAGCTCGCTTTCGAACGACGGATCTTCCTATCAGTAGATTAGCGCCCTAACGTCTGAGCCACATCGAGCTCTGGGTGTGTTGGATAGTCCTATTGTTATTAACTTGTACATTTCCATCACATATCGCCTCGAATCAGCATCACCATGCAGCGGATTGCTTAACTATTGTTTTTTACAGCTTATTAGCAGTTCTATAAAAAAAACTGGTTTTGGTAACACAATGACCTGAGTGATCTCTCACAGTGAAAGTGACCAGACGCTGTTGCAAAATTGCGACTCACATTGACCAACCAAAGCATCATTTGGATGATTTGGTTGTTGTTGGATCCGTTAACGTTATATCCGAAAGTGGATCATTAAAAATGGGACCACCAATGTGCAAAAGTGACGGTTCCGTAGGAGTGCCAATTTCTTCAGCGTCGAGTAAATTTCTCCCATCAAGTTCACTTTGTCGGAATCTACCAACCAACCAAGGTTTCATCTGAGAAAAATGGGATAAGGCGTCTCTACTCAACGTAGGACCAGGAGGTTTGAAGAAAGTTCGTGAATCGCTGAAATTTGCGTTCTTATCTTGAAATCCCGTAGTATTTACTCGACTATCAGGCCCGTTGGTCGAGTAACTGTGGTTTGTGCTCCAACGCGTAGACCTGTCAGTGGGGGGCCATAAAGATTCAGTGCTAGGTATCGGAAGGGGTTCATTCCTCATAACCTTCCAGCGCCATGGGAAGGTTGCCCCGTTCATTTCATCGGAAACTGAACTAAATATCCCGGATCTTGTACTAGAATGGGATGCGAAACGTTTTGTCCGACGATAACAGAGACTACCAAGTACGATGATGAAGACCAATGCAATTGTGATCAGGACTGCAGTGGCAGCCGGAGAAATGCCCGGATCAGACTTGACTTCTCTGATCTGTAATCGTAGTGAAAACAAACAGACATAACTGGTTGGAAAAGATTGCGTGAGCAACATGCGTTTCTAGGAAAACTTAAAGCTCCGTTTAGCTTAGAAGTTTTGTCGCATGCCACAATTCCAGTCTTGCTGTGCAAAAGCTATTAAAATGCCTTAAAAAACCGTGAGATCTCAACCGTTAAAATTTAATACATCCAATGTCTCACAAGAACCTCGCCAAGGACTGGAACTCATCGACTCGTTGAAGGTCGTCAGACTGGTGAATTTGAGTTAATCGATTAAGCCGTACGGATGAAGTTATGGTAGACAACAGAAAAGCTAATTTCCTTGGGCCATCCCATAAATCTACTGAGATCGATTCAACCTGCTGGAAGCCTCAGAAAGTCTGTGAAGCACTATTGTGCAATGAAAGGTCCGGTTCGCATTTGTACGAGTGTCAAAATAAAAGTTTAGGGACAGATCTCGACCAATCGGATGCAGAACTCTAGCGAAACAGTAACACAGGCGGAATGTGGGAAGATTCTTCCGGTAATAAATCAGAGGGAGAAAAGTTAAGCAAGCGGGAATTCTGACTTCTGAGGCACGAGAGGTTAGTTTAGTCGAGTGAGGCTGTACCGTAAGCTCCTCGATGGGACGACTTTGGCGATACCAAGGTTCTCCAGCGCATTCATATCACGAAGTTCAACCAGAACCGAAAAGAAAATATCTCATATTCAACATTTTCTCTACTTTCTACCACCGAGACACCACAGTCGAAATGTTCCGAGCAATGCACACAGTGGCCAAACCAAAGAAACACAGAGTTTTCTCGTTTGAGGAGGATAGATTCCTTTGTGGTGCTCTTGCACTAATCTTCTGTTACGATTGTGACATTATACTCACCAGGAATCTCATGCCAAGTCGCAAATTCCTACTATTTCGAACAGAAGTTTTCGCAACTTGAAACACAAACGTCTCGATTCCACGAGAAAGCCGACGAATCCAAACATGCAGTTGGAATCACACGCTCCTTTCTCTCCAACGTTGATTATCTATTGGAAGTTTTGATACGCATCTTGGTCTTTGCTTACTGCACACATCATAAACCAAACACCTGTTTAGAACTAGCGATTTGAATATGCCCCACGAGATTTCCTTGACAAATAATAAAACACCATTCAACTTCACCAAGGTGGGACACCAAATTTTCTGAAACATACATGAGTGGTTTTGAAAATTACGCGAAAAAGTCATCAGAAACACTAAACTGGCATTAAACAACAGAGCAGCAAATAGTATACGGTGCCCTTCTTAGTTAGCGGTGCAGATGCGCTTCTCGTACTTAGTTTTCCACTAATATTAATACACACGATGTGATTAAAAGGTCATTTCAAAAGTTACACTTAGCTGCAGAAGTGAACTCTTATTTTATCGCTTAGATACAAGTGAGCTTTGTGCTTAGCTGACCAAACTCGGTAGATTTAAAAACTCACTTGAAAGCTATATTGACGTTAACATGAGAATCGAATGCGTTAGGCACTTATGCTATGCGTCAGTTTTTCTTTGGACTTTCCTCACCAGGTTGCATAAAATTCCTGCTTTCCGACGGCCCAAGTTCAGCTAGCAGGCACTCTCAACTACGAACTTTATCAGACTCGTGTTCTCCAACCAGAAGTGTTTTCAAGGAGATGCCCGGTGGATTTCTGTCTTAATGAAGAAACCAATTTTTGAATTTTTGATATCAAACAAAGGATTATGATTTAGAACTAATACACATACCATCTCCGGATAACATCATCTTAGGTAGAGGAAGACACCTTTGTTCGCACTGATATTGTGATATAAGTTTGCTTTTTATCTTCAGTGCTCAGAGGAATTTATTGATAATGGCACATTGTTTATGTGACTTGAAGAAGAGAACGTTGACATGTCAGAACATACTGGACACGTTCTTAGAGTTTCGTCGCCAGATTAAATCGTATCCGCTGAGGCAGGAGAAGACATCGGATGGAAAGTTATGCTCGAATTTTTAGCTTGAAAAGTTTCGCCAACAAGGCAGCGAGTTCAGGCGCAGATTTTGTAATTCGCCGGGGTTGATACTGGTTCATTGATGCTAGAAAGCTAACAGTGCAGTAAGAGATAAGTTTGTTTATTCACATATCATGCAACGAACAGGCAAGTGGCCGAAAATAATGCCAAACAAAAGTAGAGTTTGCCAATACGTCTAATTAGATTAGCAATTTTTGTGGCGCTAACCTGGCGGAACCAAATCCCTCACAAGAAAAAAATGAGCAGAGTATAGATCATCATCTCAAAGACTACTGCAATTGAGTTGAGGAGAAAAATATAGCAGGAAATGAATCCATAGCTCTTTGTTTTATTCCTCTATAGCCAACAAGATGTGGGGTTTTCAAATCAAGCCACAATCAAGTTACCGCTGTGATATCGCGCTGACTGAACAAGCGCGGAACACAATCAACAGGGATCCGTATGTTTGAACTTGGGCTATTCGTCGTTCCTGTTTTGCGTATGTGGTAGCCATGTGATCGGGATTCGCAATTTTTCACTATCTAGAGTGATTTCAGGTGGCCGGTCTATGATATAGGAAGGCTTGTACTGCCTTCGTTTTCTGGCATGAAACAAGTGACATAGGGAATACGTTCCGTGCCATCAGTCAGACCATCAAAATCGTTCACCAAATGACGTTACCTGGGTATTGTTCCCACAGGTGGCAATGGCACTCAGAATTGCTTCGCCTAGCTGTGGTGGCTGCCAGCCTCCAACACACTGATCACCAGGAATGCGTCTGTACTCCATGTTGTGACTGAGTTCCCTTCCAGGACCGTAGACCTCGCACAGATTTACCAGCGGTACGTGAGGATTTTGTATACATTCCAGAGTTCCAATTTGACGATAGTATGCAAACTCACTGGGAATGAAGCGAAAACAAAAGTAATTGTCACTGCTATTTGAGCAAAAGTCTAAATGAAGTCTAAATAATCATGCCAATATGCGAGGCACACGAAGTGAGGGTAACGGGTGCTGAGGAAAAATATGCCAGTCGATGTTATCCTGAAAACCGTTTCCTCATGACACAAATGCTTTTAAAGTCCTATGTAAACTACGCCATGGAGACTAATATTGCAATCAGTGAAACCCAAACCAGCCTCGTCAGAACGGTTTTTGCACAACGGACTGGAATAAGCAATACAACAGGCGATCGAATATTCTAAACGGATCACATTCTGGACAGTGCAAACTTGCATGGATTCGGACAGATTTGACAAGACTTGTCCTCTTCTAAGTGGTGAGGTATTTGGGAAGGAACGTACCGGGGTACGGGAGACAAATCACGTGCTCGTTCCCCTTAATAACCAACGTGTTTCACACAACATTCAGACTAAGCGAATGCAGTCGTACTGAAGTCGGTGGGCTTCCTTCAATTTTATTAAACAGCCCGGTGCACCATTTAACAACTCGTCAAGTAAACGAAGTAAGAGGGTGCAATATCTGGTTTCCTTTGTGAAAGTTAGTTGTTCAATCGTCGAGGATTGTCAAACCATTTAACAGATGCTACAGGCAATCTTACGGGTAAAATCGAACCACTAAGCATGAACTACTAATTCAGAAAACGCAGCAAGTCTAGCATGTTGGGCATAAATATACATCAATACACAAGCTGCTGGGCAATAACATCGTCGACGCTGAATACGGTTCCATTGATAAACGGGAACTGGCACGTCTCTTGAAAGGTCGTGACGCCGTTGTTCGCCTTCCTTGTGGAATTCGGTTCGAGTTTCGCCTGGTTGTTCTCGATGTGCATGATTTGTCAACACATACTGTAATGTCAGCCGATATAAACACAACTATTTCGTCACTACGTTTGTGTGCGTCTTTGTTGTTCAGCCCATTTGTTCGAGCGACTAACTGATTATTCGCATATATACCCTGCACACCTGTCCACCTGAAACACACTATGGAGGTCAACGTGATATTGCCAGGACCATGTCCTAACACACCTTCCCATATCAAGCCTTCCGATGTGCTACAAGTGACCCGCAAAGTGGAAGAAAGTGCAAGAGATGTCTAAACGAGGAGTGTCATGCGAATATGATCTTGGTTCGCCTTGTTGTTTATACAAGCCACCGGTTTCTGCCAAATGGGACATTATTGGCTGACTTTGTTCCTACTGATGTCTCCAACTGATCAGACGCATCAGAGCATTAGCCCTACTGCGATGCCTGAAGTGACTTTCGGTGACGAAACTAATTATGTGCGGACACTATGTAGCATCTTATTCATAGCGTGGACTGTTGGATATTCCAACGGACTCGTGTCTTATTCCTTTGGCTTTCCACCAGATAAATGCTGCTCAGACATCTTATCCATAGCGTGGACTGTTGGATATTCCAACGGACTCGTGTCTTATTCCTTTGGCTTTCCACCAGATAAATGCTGTTCAGATGGTTGTACACGAAACTTAATGCAACTCACAAGTGCCATCACCTGTCCTAGGTGAAGGCCAGTCGGTGTAGTTCTGCCTTATATGCAAATCCCGGAATGGATGTTAGCTCAGTGAGACATTGGAAGTCAGAATGCGGGCTTCCGAACCAGTGAAATCAAATATAAGAACAGCGTAGTTGCGAATAGTTAGTCTCCTTTGGGGAGAACAGCCTCAAGAGCAGTTAAACTAAGTGATCATCCGAAGTGTCCGAGCGACAAAAGTCGGAGCACGTAAAACCTGTTCATGGTAGTCCTTGACCATTTCTGCAACTTTTTCTGTTGCAGCCATCTTTATCGAATCCGCTAACACGTCTCAGTAGCTTCCGGGGAGGGAACGGGTACTCGTTAAAGATCTCAACAAGACTTAAAACTGTCTAAGAGCGCTTTGATAGAATTTCACGGATTACTGGATGCCCAGTTGGGCTTTTTAGATGTTCAGTTCTTCAGCCACCCTCGGAATGAAAAAATCTGGGTCCTCTTAAGACCATATTGACTATGAAGTCCACTAGGGTGTGAAAGTGAATAAGTCTTCTTGGGTTTGCCAGTTCTTCAGCCACCCTCGGAATGAAAAAGTCTGGGCCCTCTTAAGACCATATTGACTATGCAGTCCACTAGGGTGTAAAAGTGAATAATTTTTCTTGGGTTTGTGATAACCAATCGAAATTATGGAACTTATCCTCACTACTTCTCTTTCACGTCTCAATCAAATTTCGTTTCAGTTGGCTAACTGGAGACGAAGCTGAGATGACTGTATCCGGAACAAATAAATAGTCAGCTGGACAATTGTGTGTCAGCTGTATTCTGAAAAAAATAGTGTGTTTTTTAATCGCATAGCACAGTTTCACCAGTTGTGTATATTGGATAAATGCTAAGTGAGAATTGTTGCAGCAGTTGTTGGATTCGTGTAGGCCTTGCGGTCGTCTGAAACGAGCTCAGGCCAAATGGGAAATCACATTTATATTTCAACCACATTTCGGCATTTCACCTGGTTACAGTGAATTTGAGACTTCAATGAAAATATAATCACATCATACCACTTGTACTGCACTTTCGATCAAACAGAATTCGAACCGCAAGATTTGCCTCTTTATATTAACGTTTATTTCATCTATTACACTGTGTTTCCGGCCTACCGGACAGGTTCCCTTAATTAGGTGTCACCTCGCCTGCCATTCGAATAATAACTTAGAAATATTGTCCATTTCAGTATTTGCAGAACTAAGACGTCCTATCTTTTTATATTATTCATCCTTCCGAGTTTTGACAACGATTTTGGACTGAGTGAGCTGCGGATTGCGGCAACATGTCACCTCAATGTCCCCGAGACGTTGCTTTTGTTCGCGTTTCTGCCCGGAAGTTTCTAAGATGGTGACATAAGCAACGAAACCCTCACACACAAATGTCATATACACTCTACCGAGAGTAATGTGAAATTCTTGTTCCATTCGTAGTGATAGCCTCAAAAGGCACTTCGGAAACACATGTGGAGAGCGTGGCGGCCGATTTTTGTACTACTGTCAAAGCAGGAAGTAGCTAAAAACGGAAGATAAATCCTTTCTTGAATTTTTGGGGCAACACGGGCACGTGACCTGTCACGGCGCCTCACATAAGGCCTGGGAACGCCACAGCACTGAGGTTTTCTATTCACGTGTGTAAAAATCCGGCACCCAAATCTTAAGAGCGGATGTGTAGGCCGGAAGCTAACTGAGTCTTGGATTCGACAGAGAAAATACAGTCCGCGTGATCGTAGAGACCTTCAGAGAAGCCGGGCACCCGTATTAGTAGAGGCATATAGTTCCCATGTTAAAAGATCATATACTAAATGAGCAGGCATTCAGACAAGAAGAGCTATTCGGCTTCCTCCGAAGAGCTACGCCTTTTGGAGAGTTTATCTGACCAAGAAGAGCTATTCGGCTTCCTCCGAAGAGAGTTTATCTGACTGAAGTTCAGGGCGGCCGGTTGGATAATTTTTCGGAATGTGTGAGAAATTTCGAGAAAATGCCTATTTTTCGGAAAATACATGTATAACGAAAGTTTTAAAGAGGTCTTCAAGGTCGTTTCTGACCATATATTTCCAATCTGCGTGAAAGAACCATGTATTACGCAAAAACCATTCGAAAAGGAAAAGGAAAGAAGGAAAGGAAAAAAAGACGAAGTAACATAATCCCAAGAAAAGCTGTACCAGTACATAATGTGATTTATGCAGTGTAATGTTGGTGAAATGCTGGCAGTTGCCGTACATATACCGCTATCCGAAAATATTTACATCTGCGTAGACATCTGAAAGTGGATAATACTGTCTTAATGATTAGCCCTCGCATTCGCGGACCAAACCACCAACATGTTAATAGGAATCTCTGTACAGATCTACGAAAAATGCTAGATGGTGCAGTGTAGACTTCAAATGCCATGGGTGACGTGCAATCTATGGCACGAAACAGAAGCCTTAGATACCTCTAATGACATCCTAGGTTAACTAAGAACAACTTCAGATTTCTATTACGATAACTTACGATTACAGTATTGTGGATATTACCTGTCGTAGTAGCTGGAGGCAGCTTAGAGATAGCTGTGATTGTGATCCAAGATTATTTGGGATGGTAGATGTTTTCATGAGTTCTTCGCAAACCGTATTTCTTGGTTAAAGTGGAAGCAACACCTCGTTGGCGCGGTTGAAACATTTAATGAACCTGGTACCAGGAGAGGAGTGTCAAACTACCTTAACTCGCTGACTTCTGAAAATTTTACTAATGATCTTCGATCAGGTGGCATGCGACAACATCAATGCTGCAAAATGTCTCGCATTACACATGTGGCTTGGTGTGGAGATCGCTTAGTTATGAGCGTAGGAATGATTCTTCTCGTTGTGAACAGAAATGAATACTCGAAGATGGACAGAAAGATGTCATAACTCCTAAACAGGAGTCCGGCCAGGCAACTTCCGGTTTATCGGATAAATACTCCATCAACTGAGCTATCGCCGACGCCGTTTCACATCGCACGTGTGCATTTGAGCTCCTCTGCGTAGACTTGAGCCGAATACGCGCTACTGGTTCGGTAGACTACAGAGGGTGGGTATGTTTGAAAATATATTCAAAAATATTGGTGTGGCCGCAGAGATTCATGGAACCCGTCCGATGCCTAAATAAGCTCAACAATACCGAGTAACCTGCGCTGTCCTCACACACGGTAGTACTGTTAGATGAGGCTAAGCTAATAAAAGGTCGCGGCAATGTCTTTTCTTACCAGCCTCTTCAGTGTCATGCTACACAGCAGGCCAAGTGTTGCAATATTTGTCAACACCACTGGACGAAATGCTGGTCAAAAGCGTGAGAACGGCAGTTTGGTTCCCACAGACAGTGGAGTGCAAGGCGCTACCGAATTCCGTCTGATAAATAAGATATAAAGTATCATCTTAGCGTCTTAACTTGACGGTGTAGATGCGACAACCTTCTCGTACATTGTACGTGCGGTCTGG